GGGGGGGGGGAAGAAAGGGCACGGAGAAGCCACACAAAATCACCATCTCTGCATCTCTGACAGCTGAGTATTTCACATTTTTAAAACTGTCTAATTTAACAACCTGAACACAAGTCCTCTAAAAACCTAAGGTAATTTGGTCCAACTTTCTCTTTGTAGGAAATTCAAATATTCAAAACAAAGATCCTCTCAAAGTATGATTGGCAACACAATAATCAATAAACATGGGTTGAAATGCACTTGGATATCAATTTGCCTTGGAAAATAGCCGGGACAACTTCAAAAGCACGATAAAGCAGTTTAGTCTTCAAGCAGTAACGTAACTCATACTCATACCAAAGTTAAGTGGCAAAGCCCAAAACCAGCCTTGGACTTTCAAGAAGAATAATAGGAAGAAGAATGGCAGATATGGATAATATTGGTAGGCAACATACAAAACAGTGTTAATACTTTAAAAAGTAAATACAATGGTTTGAAGAAAAAGAGAGAAATACAGTAGTCTCAGCATAAGATCCCCCTGCTTAGGACCCCGCTGTTTTAAGAAAATAGAATTTTTACTACACAAAAGTCATCATCTAAGATCCGCTCTGATCCACCCTGAAGGTTTATATTCGGCCAAGATCCTGCATTTCAGAGAATAATTTACAGAACTAAAAACCCAGGCGGGCAGACGATCAACCAAGAGTGAAATGTTGAGACAACTGAACAGCTCATTGTGTCAAAGATCAGCCTCTTTTGTGAATGCGATCACATGAATGTATTAAAACTTGATGAAACGGTACAATGTTTACTCCAAGATCGGACCACAAAACTCGATTGATGTTGACAAATGGGTTTGTTCACTTTGAATATGATGGAACATTACGTGTATACAGCAATACATCTCTGTGTACGTACGGTATTCTTCGATATGAAGTGTATTTTTCATTCTTCAATATCATGTAAATTTACACGAAGTAAGGGTTTCTATCTTTTGAAACATTGTAATTTTTGACACTTTTTCCAAGGCCATTTTTTTAGTGTATGAGAAGAGTAAGGCATTCTCTGGATAAATCATCCTTGCTCTTTGATAGTGCTGCACAATTTATGTTTATTTAACCTTTGAATGGAGTTTAACTACGAAACAAGGGAACAAGTTACAATGGGTGAATGGAGTCCCCCACTCTTTCAATCTTTTTTCACATAAAGTTGGTTGCTATTTGAAAATAATAGATGTAAACAAAACACAATGAAATCAATCACAAAATCTATGTTAACTCCACAATAGGTGCTGAAAAAAAAAGCAAAAAAGAAGACCCAGGAACAGCGACAGCCCACATAAAATCGATTTCTTAAGCTACAGCACACATATCTCATTTATCCAGTCACCCACACACAAAAAAAAAAGCCTGAAAGGCTTGAGACAGTCGGTGAAGTCCCCCTCATTCCTTTTTTAGTGGACAGTAAGAGTGGAAATAGTACTTGGAGACACCAGAAATCAATGCATTGAAATTTCACTTGGAGAGCCAGTGACAAAAACTTGGACATATCAAAGCAAGAGGGTACTGCATAGCATTTATAAACACGGTTAAGCCTGCTCTCATGGCCATCTCACCAGCACAAGTCACCATTCCCTCCTTCTCCCGCATTTCTACATTATAATGACACTGTGCAAGATGTCTAAGACAACCACTTTCCTCCTCGACATGGATGGTCATCTTAAACTATTTCGATCATATCCATATCATTCACACACACAAAAAAAACCAGACCGTGTCTTTTTGTCAGCTCCAGCAAGCGTTTGCGCATGTGCTTTATTTGAAAGCAATGTCAGAAAATCCTTTTCCAGACTATATTCTCCACAAATAACAATGTAACACTAGCATCTAATGGGGAAGCCTCAAAATAAATATTTTATACACTAAAAAACCATTTAGAAAAAGTATTCTGAGGATTCATGTCACTCCCGGCTGTATACTTCTCTAGTACTGTAAACAGGACAGGGTGATTTTATTCAATTTTCCCCCCAAGCCAGAGCAAAGAAAAGTAGACGCTTCAAAATCAGGACCTGGAATCCTAAAACAGCGCTACAAACAGAGAAGTTCAGTTTTTAAAACATGTAAACGATTTTTTAAATAGCAAAAACAAATGAAAGCAAATCATCAGAAGTGAGAGAGTCAAACTAACTTACATTTACTCGTTTTAGAACAGTACAAGCACAAATTACAGCAAGTTGGAGGCAAGTATGCAATTAAATTCCCCCATACCACTGTCACACACTATATGGAAGGCATTGCTGTTCGATCATAGTTGAACCCCAAAGTCATCACCAACAAAGACGCTGACTGCAAATATCAAGACCATAGACCTAGCCCAGTCATGAAACTGCAAAACCTAGTCTTGTACAAGGAACTGTTGACAAAAACCATAACATTCCCGCACGACAATAGTACAGCCACTCTACTCTTAGAGAACAAACAATACCCCTAGGTCCTAGTTGAATAAAGTTGAGATAATTACAAGGACAGTGCCATGTAGAGTGAAAGCACATGGAACACTGCATCCAATACAACATTGTTTCGAAGGTCAGAATCTATCCATAAAACTCACAGAACAACCTTCAATGCCATCATCTTTACTACTTTAAAGTTCACTATAGAAAGAAACTGCAGTTCTATAGCGTTTGACCCGGTCAAACACTAAAGTATCGGTGTACCTGCTGTTGGATCATTCCTATGTTAGGTGAAGCGCAAAATCCGTTTTTCCCATTTTTATCTCTTTAGAGAAAAAAAAAGGAAAAACAGTATAATTCGCTTATATCGACATTTTTTGGGAAGCGGATTTGATGTTGATATATAAAACTGTCGATAAATAAAAATTATAACAATAAAGCCAAAGAGGAAAAAACTAGGGGAGGTGAGTGGTAAAAGACAACACAACTTTTTAAAGCTGGTTGCTTTCCTTGATTCTTGAAACAAGAGGCAGAGAGGAGGGGTGGTGGTGGTGGCGGCGGCGGCGGCGTTGTAGTTACGGTACCAAAGGCTGATCAGCGCAACGAGCACACTACGCACCAGTGCAAACTTTGATGTACATCCGGTTTATGGCCGCTTGCTGGGGAAAATTGAAAGGCCAGGCACTGACTCGCTGACCGTGACACTTGCCAGCGACAGACTGAGAATGGGATGGGGAAGGGGAGTGAGCGATCGGGAGATGATGCCCAGTGCGCAAGATGCTCATGTCTGTGAGGCACTGTACTGTGTTGGAGACTACACTGTAAAGGCCCTCCATGACTTACCAAAGCCTGGTGTGTCGATATTAGGCTACTTGGCGGGTATGCGGACTTAATGAAGAACTAATGTGTTGACCGTTAGCGTGGCTTTTTCCTCATTTATGTTTGAGGGCTTAGCCAGGTACCATGGAAGCATGTCGATAAAGCAGAAAGGGCCGAAAAAAAGTCAATATAAGAGAAATTGTTTAGGGAAAACATTTAAGGAAAAATTTCGTTAATTGAAAAATATGTTGATACGTCAAAATGTGGATAAATCGAACGTCGACATAAGTGGATTATACTGTATATATCCACTTTGAGAGTGCTTTAACATGAGAATAACAGAAACGGTCATACAATAACGCCAACATGCAAGGAAAGATTTTTAGCTCTTTCTTTGGGACACCTTTTTAATTCCATCAAGTGAACACAACAACATGAGAAAAGGAACCTTCCTTTAGAAAAAAGCCGAAAATCCACCATAGTAGTTCAGACGCAGGAAAAAAAAAAAAACCCTCTTCGAATAGAAAACATTTATTACCTCCAAATAACATCACATTATTAACGTATCTACTTGAAAACCTGATGGCTTAATTTCATAACCAAAAAAGGAAATAATGTTATAATAAACTTCATTCTTGGATGCCAGCACATTCATACTCAATGCTCTGCTCCTGCAGCATCAAAACTTTTCTCTGCAAGCCTTGCTTCACAAATAAAGAAACATCCGCCAAACACAATTTTTATTTAACCGTTCTAAAACTGAATTCTAAATCCATACTGGAAACAACAACCACAACAACTACAGCAATAAGCCAATGTGAGTAAAAAAATATAGTTAGTCGAATGGGCTTAAACCCGTGAAACTGTGAAGCTAAAAAAGCAAGCAGTAAAAAACAAAATATTTTTTTACATCACTAAATCAAATGGCAACTGTCAAAATTAATTGGTCAAAAGAAAATGAATACACTTACTTCGTGGATTTGGTGGTCCTTGAATATGATGCTGACCCATGTCCAGTTGAGAAGGATCTTGAAAAGACTGACTCAGAGCCCCTAGATCTCCAGCTGTTCCACTAGTAAATTGCTGGGGTGGAGCATCAGAATTTGGATAACCAATTGAGCCTCCACCCACTGAAGAATTGTCATGAAGATTAGACTGACTAGAAGAAGGATCTGTGAATTTGAAGTAACATTTTTTTGTCACATATGGATTTGGGACACTGGCAAAGGAGTTACAATTTTTTTAATTCACATCAAACTACTTAATTATCTAAATTTACATTTCAAGTTTCTCTAACCATAACAACTTGATGACAGGAGTCAGAGAGCTGGAAAAATTCTAAAACATTACATAAAGAAAATGTGAAAGAAAAAAAAGGCTATTATAATAGCATAATTTCTTACCGATTAATTCAGATTAAGATCAAGTCACATTTTTCCCTAAAGGAATCCATAGGACTGTATCATGTAAAGAAACTAACAGTCAGAGTAGCATCAAAATCATTATCAGCAATAGAAACATGACAAAAAGTTCACAAACAGATGGAATACTTAATTAATACCAGTATAAGTCTTTAACCAAAGTGGTAATTTCAAACACATAGTTATTGATGGTGTGAAATTGTCAGTATGAGGCAGCACATCTCATGTGAGTTAAGTGATGGTGGGTCAGCAGTTCTCTCAATTTTGTTCCCCTCTCAAAAAACACTGAAACTTCAATTCGATTCTGTAAAAAAAAAAAAGGTATTGGGCCAATCTAAATTTTCATGACAAACTTATGACCAAAGTGTGCTAACTTTGATGTAGATTAACAAAAAAGCAGGTCATTTGAGTATCTGGGGAAGAGCATGACACTACTTGAAAATAATGCAATGTAAATAAGAATTTGAAGTCACCTTTAAAAACACCTGAGCATGCTACAAACTGCTCTTTAAGTGTAACAGTAGCATGCCAACCCATAACAGGACTATGTCAACTGACTAAATTTGCTGAAAACTACTCACACCCATCATTAAAAATAACTTTCAGTGGTGCAACTTTGCAAGCTCATCAAAAAGAAAAAAAATAAGGAAAGAACAGAAGACCTCAATTTTGTTTTCAACACAAGAAAAGAAAGAAGCTTACGCGAAATGGTAATTACTGTACTTTTGACATCCGAAAAGTTGAAACTCATTTTTTTCTTCTTCTTTTAAGGAAAAGATAAGCCCCATCCCAAAATCAATGATAAGTAAATTAAAATACTTTACACACACTTAGTCAATAAATAAAGTTGTTAAAAAAAGTAGTTTCAAACAGAAAAACTACCTTGACTGAGTCTGGAAGCAGCACCAGCTGAAACCCCCCTTTGATTGGAGATTCTTTGACTTTCTGAATATTCTTCTTTCACAAAAGTCACATCTAAGTCTAGATCATCCTCATCATCAGGGCCCATACCTGAGCTTTGGTTGCTGTCACCACCGAAAAACTCAGCATGGGATGAACTGCTGAATTGTTCAGAATGGTTTCTGTCTGCTGCTTGTTTTGATGGTGCACTGTTGAAATAGGCTGAAGATGATGATGAAGATTGTAGAGTGGTGTACTTGTATGGAGGATGCATTCCGCTATAATTACCATTGTGCTCTCTTTTTCTCTTAATAGAATGTGCTGATGGAAGGTGGGAGTGGTCTAGGGACATATGGCGAGACTTCTGATTATCCTGGGCCCCAGACAAAACATTGCTGATGCTTGTGATAGCTGATTGCAACCGAGATGTGCCTGCGGTAGGAGACATCGATGCATCCTCAAAGTCTGCTCCTTGGTCATTGCCCATTGACTGACCTTTATCTCTCCGAGTTATCACTTCATCAGGTGGTGTCTGAGCAGCATAACTTTTGCTCACAAATATAGTGGAATTTTCAGCATTTTTGCAAACCTTTTCTTTCACTATGTAGTCAAAACTAGACCCACTATCAATGTTCAGGTATAAATGTCCGATTATTTCTATCCCATCATTGAACTCCACATAACCCTGGCACAGAGTCTGAAGTGACTTCACCAAAGCAGAGATGAACTTGTTAGCTGATTCACCATTCATGTTGCTGGTCTTTGTAGCCTGGAGAAAAAAAATTAGTTATTAAAGCCTAAAATATTTCCATGTCCTGGAGGAAATGAAGTAAAGCTGATTATTACAGAGCAAAAACCATTCTCATTCACTTTTCTATAATTTCACTTTGACAAAGTCACAATTTTGTTGTTGTCCTTAAATGATAATTTCAAATCAGGCCTGCGCTATCCAGATAATCTTGGATCGTGCAACATGCACACTGGACCTTGAGTTTATCTGAAAGGACGAAGGGCAGACCCTACCTTATATTAAAAATAGAAACCAAAGTGGAAAAAACAGAGACAACAAACAAGGCCATCCATCATCGTTGAACAGGGATTTGTCACCATATAAGTACAGTAAAAATTGTCTAAGACTGCCATTCATTGCAGAAGAGAAAAGTGGCCGTTTCAAACAGGTGGTAATTCTGCACAAAATCAATTAATGTTAAAAAAAAATATGAGGGAGGAAATGAGAAATGATCGTTTGTAAAGGTGATTGTCTTATACAGGTTTACTGTATAATTCATAAACATGTCGTTAACTTCTCTTATCCAAGTTTCATTGCAGTTTTCTTTGTGGTTTAATATTGACTAAAAGTTTGGGCAAAAACACAGTACACATAAATGTGCACAAACCAGAGCTTGGGTAAAAATGAAAAATAAATCTATTTCAGGATTACTTTTCCGACCAGTGCTTGCCAACCTGGGCAGTACACTGTTGACAATTGGGAATTTGGGTGGGCAGCGGGGATCACCTTGGTGGTAGAGACAAGGGTTATTTTATTTCCCACTTGGAAGTATATACGTAGATGGGTGGAATGAAAACTTTAGCCTCTTCAAGGTGCAACAGTGGGCGTTGACTATAAAACGGTTATTTTAGCTTTAGTAGAGTTTTTACGGCGCTCGCAACTGCATAAGGCGATATGAGCGCCAAATAAAAGGTTGAAAAGACATAACTTTACAACACATATTTACCCAGAGAGACAACAAAATGTAAAGAAGTTTAGCCTTATGCTTGAACTTTAAGGCCTTGTATCTAACACGTGACTATTTTTAAAAATTAGCCAAGTCTTTTGCGCTTACAAAGCCCAGAGGACTGGTAAAAATCTGGGTCACAACAACGAGAAAAAAGTGTAATATCAGTACTTCCTCCAGCTGAAGCGGAAAGTGAGGAAAATTGTGCTGGGGGTCTGGGGGGACGCAGAGGCCCCCAGCAGGGTCTAGGGTCAGCGTCCCGGTGGGAGGTTGGGGGACGAAGCCCCTGAAGAAATTGAAATTTAGTGCTTTTAGAAGGTTGAAAATGGCATTTGGGAGCCTGTTTTAAGAGATTGCCTACAGCCCATAACTATTTTTTCACCAACATTTTGTCTGGCTTGATTTCTTCACCAACATATCTTTCCATTGCTGGCAATGATGTTTAAAAGCAGGTTCACCTTTCATTGCTACTATAATTCAATTAATTTGTCGTCACACCATTGATAGCAGGCAAACCTGGAAATAATTAATAGAATGTACCTTCACAATACAGTTGCCCAGGATAAACCCTAATTTTCCCCCAATTTTCACGTCTGAATGTCGCCCGTCACAACCTCGGAACACCACTTCAAATTATTCTTGATTATACATACGGTTGGATCGGGCCGATCGCCTGAAACTGAAAACAAACACGTTTGTTTTTGAGGTGACCGAGTCGGATCCCATCCATAATGGGCACCCCGTATCAGCATATCATAGCTGCCACTCAGAAATTTTAAAAAGGAGGAAATTCACGCGAAGGCGTACGCGCTCTCTCCGAAACCAGTGAGACCCAGAGGCAATATATACTGGAAAATCTAGCCTACGATTTTGGAAGGGAAAACTGTCATATTGTTAACCATAGGCAACTGAATTAAAATGTATTTGAAAAAAACAAAACCCCCCCCCCAAAAAAAAACAACCATAGAGGCAGTAAGTTGACTAACAACAATCATTCGAGTCAATTTGACACAGTTTGGACTTGGTGACTAAAAATCCAGTGTTTTTTGCCAGCTGTGTCTCATAAAAAGATTTCTTTCACTTTAAACTTGTACAAAGACGTAGAGCAGTATCGGATCAAGGATGCAGGCACTCCTGTACAAAATTGCGGTCCCGTTTGCACTTAGTGCCCCTGTAGTGTGTTTCTTATTTAGAGATCTAAATTGAATTAAAATTATAGCCTAGGCTATGTAATCTAGATCTAGATATATCTAAATATGTACAGATCTAGATTATATCTAGAGATAGATTTTCTAGATCTAGATTCACTTCCACAGCACCACAATAGCCGTCATGTGAACAACAGGACCGCAATTGTACAGGATTGCCGCGGGCCGCGATTTCTTTCGCAAAAAACGGCTAGTTCAATTTTCTAATGAACTTTTCAAGGCGCTCACCGGCTGCTTCTTTCTCATTCCAGCTCCTTTTATTTTTGCATTCTGCATCAATGTCTCTCGAATTGCCGCCAATTTCAATGACAACTCGGCGCACTAACGTCCCGATGCCCGATCGACACTGTGTTCCTCCACAACAATAAACAATGTGAAACTAGCGCTGGGTCTAGAAGAACGGAAGTAGAAAGCTACGGGCAGACATGCGCAAGCTGCGTTTTCGTCTCTCTCCCGGTTCAGTGTGTTTCTGCGGGAAAAAAAGTATGAAATTTGCGACCAAGAGCTGTCAGCGGAGGAAGGAGGAAAGTTGCGGGGAAAAGCTAGATGAAGCGGAGTTTCCGCTATTTAGCGGAAAAGTGGCAGCTATGGCATATTATATTTCTTTCATCGTGGCCCTTATATCGTGTTCACGTGCGGTAGAATCTTCACATTGATGTTTCTAGATCTAGACAAATTTGCAAAAAGTTTCTTTCTGACAGTAATTTTCTGTCCAAGATCACAATTTACTTGATCAACGCGCAGATTTTGTAGCCGCGGCAACAATCCGAAGATAGACAGAAGGAATGAGTGAATGATAGAAAGGAGGAAATTGGCACAAAAAGTTCGCCAGATTTTGATCCACCTGCAGGTGAAAAATGTACTGCCGACCAAACGCAATGTATGCATAGGGCATAGCAGAATAATGGCCGACTGAAGGAAATGAACAATCTGGCAGGTTTCTAGAAACATTAACTTATTGCCGAGACAATTACTGTGAATATCCATAACTTATACAAGACGATACGAAAGCGTGTACGGAATTTACGCAGTCCTACGCTGTCACAGATTTTTACGGAGGGAGTTGATAATGATAGAAGGACCAGTACGGAACTCGCAGGAAGTACGGATTTCCGTAAAAATATGGAAGAGTGGAAGAAGCACTGATAATACAGTGAAATTAAATGCCGTCCTATATTCACTGTGGTTTAGTTGAGAAAGATGTTACAATCTCAATCTAGTAAAGCCATAACATAAAATTCAAGAACATAAAGCTTTATTTTTTTTGACTAAGCATTAACGTTTTCTTTCGACAGCAAATATATGACACCAAATGACCTCGACATTTATATTCAAAAAGTCAAAAGTATGAGACAATAACTCTAGAAAATATTTTCAAAAAAAGCTGATGCACAACTAAAAGGCCACACACCAATGTTTTTACACTAAAGATTTATGGGTCAAATAACCATTGAAAGATGTATGACCCACTATCAAATTTAGTCTGCTGGCAAGAGCCTCCTGCCACAGACGGTACTATTTTACACATTCTCAACCATCAGAAAATGATCAGTACACAAAATCTTGTTCACTAGAGACCAAAATGCATAGACATAGTTCCCTACACGGAGAAAGCGATTTTGATGTGGTTCATATTTCGAGTGTCAAAATATTCAGCATTCTTATTCAACTTATTGATTGCTAAATTGCATTTCCCCCTGCTTATAATAAGCACAGGTACAGGCTCAAGACAGAAGCTTTGCAACTCGCTTTGTTATACAAACAAATGAACAGGCCCTCAACATCAGGACATTGTGAGCATCATAACTTAAGTTTAGAAAATCAGGAAAAAAAAGAAAAAAAGAAAAAGAAAAAAAAATTGAAACAAAAAATGTTTGCCCCCCCCCCAAGGTGCCATTGAAAGCAAACAAAACCAAAATATTTTCTCTTCACTGTTTTCACTCACTTTGCATCTTTGTAAAATACACGATTAAAATTCTTCTCTATAGAATAGAGACATAATTTGTAAGCTCCCAATACAGGGAGCCAAATCTTTGTGATTTTCTTCATGTAAATGATGGGGAAGGGGCAGAAGAGGGAAAACATTACAGGCCTACGCCTAGACAATTTTCTACGTTTACTTTCACTCCCCCACGCAGATGCACTGCTTTTGGAAGCTAAACAGCGATATTATTTTTTTGGTTGCAGAACACAAATACGGCAACTTGATTTCTATAGGCTAACCATCGAAAATAAATTGGGTATTCTAGCAATGCTAATGAAAATTTAATTTTTCACTTTAGCCCTTTTTGATTTGGTACCTAAGAAAGCATTTTCAATTCTAAGAATTATGCTTCTTGAATTTTAAGAATCGGTTCATAAATAAAAAAGTTATGGGGTTGTAAAGGTCGGAAAAATATGGATGACCCATATATTGGAAAATACTCCTAAAAAGTGGACCGCGCAGTAGCAGATTCTGTAAGAAAATAGACGATATCTTGGAAACTAATCGGAGTGTTAGAGAGAAACTTGGCTACTCGATGTGTTTTTGTGTGTAGAAATCGTTTCTGCAGTCAGATTTACTACCTATTTCGTAGTTATTTTGTTAAAATTAAAATTTTGGTGTACATATTACGATTTTGCGAAAAAGGGGTGTCGGGATGAGTCCATTTTATTTATAGCATCGTATCACAACATGGGATCTTTAAGAATATATGTCGGCAGCGTGAATAAATAATTGCAAAGCTTTTTATGATGACCTTAGACCATGCCAACCGAAAAAGATAAGTTAATTCAATCTAGCATGTCGTACAATAAAAAAAATGTTTCCCTGTTGAGACGCGAAC